AATTTTGTTATGTTTTCTGTGTAATAATAATAGATTTTTAGAGGTTACATATTCAACCGTTTTGACCCGAGTTGTAAACTTTTGACCCTGTTGAACCGTTTAGACACGTTTACTATAACCCGGACCTAAACTCTATTGTAAATCCAATAAATAATTTGATGCTTTATGAGGATCATAATCATGTTTCTCCAACGCGTCAATAGCTTGTGCTTTTGAAAATCCTATATTTATAAGTTGCTTTATCATTTCACTATTTGGGTCATTCTCATCAACATCGCTTTCCTCTTCAATATAGGAAGTTGAAGACGATGAAGGTATCGCCTCTTTTGGAGGTCGGGTAGGAAGAGTGGGAGGAATAATGTGTTGTTGATGCGAGGGTCGTCGTTCGTAAGAATACGAAGGGGCAGCAGCAAAATCTCTTTGCATTTCACCTTGAAGGTTAGGGGCAGAAATATTGCGTGCACTCATGGAACTTAAAGGTGATGTATAAACATTTGCAGTATTTGTAGGTGATATATGCATATTAGCTAAATTTGACATAAATTGTTCGGGATTGCTATGATTTGATAAAGGTGACCCTAAAGTGAATGCTTGTGGTTGCTGTTGTACAGAAGAAGCTATTACTGGTTGTAATCTTGGTGATACGTGAAACCTATTAAAATTAGAAGTTGCCAATGATGCTTCTGGCCCCATATGTAATCCCGTGGTAGTCGGAGACATGGTAAGTCCATTTGAAACGAAATTTTTTACACCATTTGGTGACGTGAATGGCACAGAAGATCCAATTACTCCCTGCAATATTGCCATATCATTTTGAAATGTATTTGGAAGATCCAACGTATTACGTGATGGAAGACTTTCCTCAAATTCGAGATAAACCAGTGATTTTGCAGGTTTACTCTGCGCCAAATCATATCACATATAGTCGAATAACAATAATGGTAATGACACAGTTAACAACCCAGTTAATGTATTAAACTAGGAACCGGAAACCGGTATAAGTCCGGAGCCCATAACAGCATTCAAT